TAACAACCAGCAAAATATGAGCTCGAACGAAGGTTATTAATTCGAAGAGTTCCCTCATTAGGAATAAAAAAACAGCACATACAAAACGTCAGAACTATCCGAATATTCCATCTATTGTTGTTATAGGTATTTCTTAATTTAAGTAAATATAAAAGATAAAATATTTTGTCTTTGATCAAAGAAACAATAAAAACAATTTTCTATAAAATCTACTCTACTATTTTTTTCTTTGTTTTAATTCTATTGTATGATTCAATCGTTTGACATTCTCATCTTGCTAGGTGACAATTGAATTTTCACTGATGTATTAAAAAAAAAGAAACGCGTCTCTTTATACATCATCAAAATAATAGTATAAATTTAAAAAAATTTTTAATCAAATAAACTCGATTTATTAGAAAGTACAAACTATCCATCAGCGATGAAGAACAACAAAATGAATAGTTGTCAGGATACATTCTTATTTTTGATTACCTGTACACTAACATTATTTCCTGTAGATAATTAAAGAAAACAAACCTAAGGCTATCATTGCCACCATCGGAAGCAGCATATTACTACATTAATTTTCATCATAATCTATAAGCTCGTTTTTTTATTCCTAATGAGAGAACTCTTCAAATTAATAACCTTCGTTCGAGCTCATATTTTGCTGGTTGTTAAAGATGATTGCGTACATAAAAGAACATGTGCCATTAGTACTTTCTTCTTGAATCATGTTCATTTTACTAATTTACAGAACTTTAATCTAGAAGAGATCCCATGATCGTTATAACTCCTTGAGAATTTTCACAAAAATGAAGACTTCTCTATCCAGAGAACAAATATAAGATTCAAACAAACTCGGATTCTCTTTTGTTGAGTATACGATATCATAAGAAGAAACCATTCGTTTTTCCTGGGAATTATAGTATATCATAATATCTTTGTCCGGGTCAAATTTATTTTTCATCGTAATATCCTGCAATAGACTGAAAATATAATACAATATGAGTGCTAGTAAAATACATTCCTAGTGCTGTTTTATTTAATAGACTTATACCAATTAATAGAGCTTGAGATTCTGAGTCTATTGAACTTCACTCTGAGCCAAAGGTTCAAACAAATAAGTATCCAGAAAAATGATGTTAAACGAAGCAGTGAGTAAACACTACATTTCACTTCCTTTTTTTTTGTCGAGCTTTTGATTGAAAACATATTTTACCAATACTCATAAAATAATCATAACACAATAAGAAAGCACTAATAGGACATATCCTGGTAAAACTTTTATCTACACAATGAATCCTTACAGTTATTAAAATATGAATTGGAACGGAGAGATTATCAATTGAAAGAATTTTCTCTTGAGTTGTCATTGCTAATTTTCAAGAATCACTTTAAAATATTCTTTTAAGCAAAACAAAAATACATTTGTTCTATTAGTTTAAATTTTTTTGTTTTTCAAAATGTCAATAAACATCATTTTATAAAAGTTTCTAGTTATTGTTTCGTGTTGTTTTTTATTATTCAGGTAAACAATGTGTGTGTGGTTATGGTGATGGTCATATTAAATTATGGGATCTTAAACAATGTTCTATTGTTTGGCAATATGATAATAATGGTGAAGGTGATAACGCAATGAATGCTGCTACTGCTATTACTACTACTACTAATAATAATAATAAATGTATTTCAATGTGTTTAAATGATGAACAAACATTAGTAGCTTATGGTTCAGCTGATGGTAATTGTCGAGTACTTAATTTAAATAATGGTAAATTACTTTCATTATTTCCTTGTTTTCAACCATCATTATCAAATAAAACTTCAACAGAAGAAAATGAAAATGATGATGATGATGATGATGAATCAACAGCAACAACAATTGAAAGTATTGCATTTGGTTCTGGTCATTTACTTATTTGTGGTACACTTTCAGGTTATATTTATATATGGGATATAAATACAAAACATTTACGTACAACACTTAATTTACAAAGTGGAATTGTTAAATGTCTTTTAAATGATGGTTATCTATTGTATGCCGCATGTCTTGATGGTCATATTCGTTTATTAGATATACGAAATGGTGAACCATTAAAAGAATGGAAAAGTGGTGGTGGTGAAGGTTGTGAAATAATGGATATGATTATAACGAAAGATAAACGATATTTACTTTGTGCTTATATGCAAGGTTCATGTCGTGTTTTTAAATTAAAAGAATAATAAAAAAACAACAATCCAGATTTTTGAATATCTATGAAAAATTGATAAAAAATTTTTTTTTTTATTTGTTTTTTCTCTTGTTTTGTTTTAGATATATGATTTGATCTTGTCATCATACATTAAATTAGGTGACATATTTATTCATGTTTAAAATATGAAGAATTAGTGTAACTTTCGTATAAATCGAATTGATACATATGCATTTAATCAATGCGCTTTTACTTTCTCTCGTCATACTTGTATCTATCATTAATGATCTTTAATTTATGTTGATAATCATCATTTATAGATGCATTAAAATCTTTTGATCGACAAAAGACAGACGTTTTAATCGTTAGTTTGTGTAGACGACACGTGCGTTGAGGAAAACAATACAGCTTATACTAATTGATTTCTTTTTTCGTCTCTTATAACAATAACATTAATATGTATTTGAGTGAACGTATATTAAGATGAAGCATTTATATATTTGGCCTCACCGCTGTCGTTGCTACTTTTTTTTTTTGTTTTGTGCTGTTCTTCTTTTGCTTTCTCTCTGTCTAATGCCACACTCTTTAGAGAGTATGAGCACCATTGAGATGGAAACATTTCTCTTTTTCCTCGACACAGCAACACATATACACAAAAGACGTTGAAGAGAGGAAGCACATTGTGTGTGTGTGTTAGTCGTTGTTCGTTTCCTCTTCATTCGTTCTTCTTCTTATTCTTTTTTTTTTTTCTAGATTATATATAGGTAAAAGACACACGCACGCTCCTACTCACTCACACTCTCTCTCTCTCTCTCTCTTTCTGTTCAACAGACGACGGCGAGTAAGTGAGCGAAGCATAAAGACGAAGAGAAAAAAAGTAAAAGTAATGAATGATATCTTTGCTTGACGAATGAGTATGAACTCCATGATTATGTTTATTTTTTGTCTAGTGATTTGAAAATGGAAAATCAAGGTAAATATGAATTTATACAAAAAAGAAACAAAACACTTTTCTTTCTTTTTTTTTTGAAAAGAAAATTCATCAAACATTCAATCTAATGATCATCATGGTAAAGAGCAAGAAAAAAATAGAAATGATCAAAATTTACTAATTATAATTCAATGATTTTTCTTTTTTCTTTCAATAGACGATGCTGTCGAAGAAGTAGCGTCATCAGTGACAAGAATAATAGACGGAGGTAAAATTACATTTACCTTGTACATACCTACAATTTATATATATATATACATACATAGATACCTATCCGATCTCAGATAATGAATCAACAACAGATTCAGTGTATATAATTGATACGAATACGATCCAATTACAAAAAAATGACGATGAACAAGGTGAATTCAATCGTAAGTAAAACACGTTCATAGGATTTTTGTTGATATGTTGTATTATACTATCAGTAAATCAATAAGACCTTCAATTAAATGTATCTTATTGAAATGTGGTATTCCACTGACTGTATTGTTGCATAACTATCACTATCAAGGGATTGCTTTTTTTTGTACGTGAAAGTGTTTTAGCTTATTCTTTTTTTTTTTTTTCGAGATTAACTAGCTCTTCCTCTATCTCTCTCGCTATCTCTTCTTTTTCTTCTCTCTTTCTCTTGTCTATTTCCTCTGATGTTCATCTGTTTGTCAACACACCGACTTCGTCCCGTCGTCGACTGTCGACAAACACAACTTGTCGTCGTTGTCTCATAAAATATAACTAACTATTGTTCAATAATGGTACTATTAATGTTCCATGTTATACTCTTACTTACGTTGTCTAACTTTCATATAACTATTGCTAATGTTGAAACATTACATTTTGAAAGTGCTTGTCTTCAACAATCGAATATAGCTCAATTAAATCTTCGTTGTTCACAATATGAACATATACAAATAATTCGTGTTATATATGGTTATACAAAACAACCATTATTAAAAGAATGTCAATTTAGTATATATGATTGTATACAAGAAGGTACAAGTCATAATATACTTTCATGTAATGATAAACAAACATGTTTAATAAATTTAACAAAAAATGAAATGCTTTCATCAGCCATAATAACAAATGGTGTACCAAATTGTCCCGATTTTAATTATATACAAGTTAATTTTGGTTGTATACCCGATTCAAAAGATATATGTGATAAATGGAAAGATGAAGGACCAATAATTCATATAAGTCATACATATTCAAAAGATCGACAATATAATCGTTGTCATTGTAAAATACGTTCATCAATATCAAATGGACAAGTTTTATTACATGCACGTGAAATGAATAGACAATATGGAAGTTTAAAATCATTAATATATCCAAAAACATCAAATATTGATTGTAAAAAAACAACATATTTAGAAATTGCAACAGATCGTTCAGAAAGAAAATGTATGGATATGTTACCATCAACAAGTAATACGGCTTTATTTGGTTCAGGTTCACATAATTTTACATTAACATATGTTAAAAATGATCTTTTTTCGGAATTATTTTTTTATTTTGAATTAAAAGCAAGTCCTATGAAAAACGATCATAATGTACAAATTATATGCAATTGGAAAAGACGTGAAACAACAACAATAACTACAACATTAACAACATCAATAATAACTACAACAATACCAATTAAAAAAGAACGAAAAAAAACAACAATTGAAATGCAAAATGGAGGAAAACTAAGTCGATTTGATCTTATGAGATATCGACCAGTAACTGAAAAAATTCATGATGATTATATAGATGCTGAAGATACTACGAATGCTTTAAATAATGAAGAAGAACTAACTAAACAAGAAGACGTTGTAGAAGAAGAAGAAGGAGAAGAAGAAGAACACGAACAAGAGGAAGAACAAGAAGAAAAGCAAGAAGAAATATTAACGACTACTACTGCAATAACAACATCAAAAATTAAAAAAACTAGAACTAGAAAATCTTCTACATCGACTAATGAAACAATAACGACAACAAAAACAACATTATCCGATGATGACGAAGAATGGTTACGTATCTTATCACTTGCTGATATGGAATCTCAATCACCATCAAAACAATTAATATCAATAAATAATCGAACATTTGTTACTGTAACACAAGCTTCAATTATAAATTTCGATGAAAAAAATCGTCATACATCATCATCAAATGCACTTCTTATTATTCTTCTTGTTATTATTTGTTTAACAATTTTTATTCTTATTATTTATTGTTTTAAAGTAAAACAACCTAATTGTCTTCAACGTTTAAGAACGAATACGAATGTTGCATTATTATTTTGTTGTGAAGCTGCTAAACTTTTATTTTGTTCATCGAATGATTCACGTCATCAATCAAGATCAATATCAAATACACCAACAACAACAACAATTGGCAGTCGTCATCATCGTCGCCGCCATCATCATCATCATCAGCAGCAGCAGCAGCATCATAATCGACCTTCACCATCCATGCCTGATTATCAATCAAGTGAATACTATATGGATGAAACAGGAAATAATTGTCGTGCAACACAAAGTATATATGATGGTGGTGGCAAGTCAATTTATAGTATCGATTATGATGAAGAAGAAACAGCATATACAACTAAATATGATCGACATAATGACGGGGGCAGTTGCTAAAAAAAAAGAGGGCAAAAGAGTTTGATTGCCTTTTTTTTTCTCTTTTTTTTTTTGCACACCTTCTTCTTTTTTTTCTTCTTCGTTCAGAATGAATCGATTGTGTCTTGAGAATTCTCTTTATATATATATATATATATATATGTATACGTGTGCGCGCGTGATTAGTATCACAAATAAAATGGCACTATAAATAAATGATTATGTTTTGAAAATATTCCTTTTTATAGACCGTATGTCTCAAGATTCATTGACTAATGGTGAACACAACGATAATAAAAATAATATTCATAATACAAATAATAAAAATGAACGACCTTCATCAACAACAAATACAACTAATTCAAAAATGAGTAGTAAAATGTCAACAACAAAATCAACAATCAATGGCAAGTTTATAAAAAGATAAACAAAACAAAAAAAAACAGATAAATTATTATTAGAAAATTTTTTTTTAGGTCTTCGTTCGCTTCCACTTGATGAACATATTAAATTAGTTAAACAAAAAAAAGAAGAAGCTGATGTATTACGTTTACAAAAAGTTCAAGAACAATTACGAAAAAAAGAACAAAAATGGTAAGTTATTATTAATATAAATAATATTAATCTCTATTCTTAGATAATATTGAGTTGTTTTTAATAACCCAACCAAAAATATAATCGATCATGTTTTCTACATATCAATAATAACAATTATATATTTTCATGAATTTTTCTTTTTCTTTCTTGTTTTGTGTATTCGCTCATGAGTATTGATTCCTGATATATACAATCTATTTTCTATGCACCTACAGGCTTTTTCATCAGTGTTGTAATTTGCTTGTTATCAACATCAGTAGGAGCGTTGACATTTGTCGCTTAGTCTTTAACAACAACACCAAAGCATATTTCTTGTTTTTTTTTCCTTATAAGTCTCGTGTATAATGTATAATCATAGAAAGAAAAGAAAATGACGATAATGTGATAGAAAATACTTTCTTCCTTGTACATAACATTAGTTAGAGAAAAAGCCACAGTTTCTTTTTTTTCTGTTTTTTAATGACTGGTGTACAACATGATAGAATAAGAAACAAGGATATTCTTATAGACTGGCATATGCAAATAACAGATAGATCTTAACTTAGTGATATTATATATATATAAATGTGTATATATTATTAAGTTGATTATTTCTAGGCAACAACAACAAGTTGAAAGAGTAAAAAAATGGTTACAATTACGTAATCGTGATTGTGATCATCGATTACAAGTTGAAGAACGACGAAGAAAACGTGAAGAAGAAGCTAAAGTATATAAATTTCTTAACTAAAATCATCTTTTTTAAGTATTATCTTATTTCACAGGCTAAAATTGATGAATTATTACGTCGTGAAAAAGAACGTGAACAAAATTATCAACAAAGAGTCAATCATAATCTTAAGTAAAATAAACATTATATTATTTATAAACATCTTTTTATAAATATTTTTTTTTTTCTTAGAATAAATGTAGTACAGAAACCTGACTCTGTTATGAGTATGTCTACAGATATCATTTCAACTCGACGAGCTATTTCAGCATCACGATTACGTACAAATCATCAAGGTAATTATTTCCCATATTACAAATTCGTTCTTACTATCATCAATATACCACAGTGCACATAAATACTGACTGTAGATTGCCGGTCGGAGAATAACTATTGATATACCATGATTAGAAGATAGTCAATCGTTTAAGTATCAAACTATCGCCACATGAAATCGAAAAAAGTATGATTGGTTATCGTTAATTTAAATTATGGATAGGCAATCATACTTTTTCGACCTTTTATTATAATTCGAACAGGTCTAATGGCAGTTTTTGTCCAATATCAATTGTATGGACTATATGATAAAATATGATTTGAAAATATTTTTATATAATTTAGATATGCCAAATCAACGAGCATTGAATGATTCTCCTGATGATAATTCAACTAGTAAGTTTAATTTATAATTTTTTCTTTTTTTTTTTTGTTTAATTTGTTTTGTTTTGGGAAATAATGTATAACTAGTTTATTGTTTTATGGGATATGCTTGTCTATAGAAAAGTTCTTTCTCTCCACTTATAGTTATCATCAGTTCTCATCAACTTAATTCGATTGACGAACAACCACAAGCTGATCATCATTCAAATGACGAGAGTTTATTGTCAGGTACACATCATTCATCGGTACGTAGTCAAACACGACCGATGACAACATCATGTGTATATTGGCTAAATACCGGTGATAATAATAATAATAACGGGGCAAATTTTATGCGTTCGACATACGCAGCAAAATATCGCTCACATTATAGTTATAGTGTTGAACGATGCCCTCGAGCTTTTAGAGGTATCCTATATTCTTACCCAAGTTGTTTTATAAGCTTTTAATCTAACATATGTGTGCATGCTTGTTTTTTACCTTATGTCTGCATATTTCATTGTTTGATCTATTTAATGTTACAATGTAAACTACAGAAATTTATTTTTATTTTCTAGCTCGAGATGAAATACTCAGTAGTGAACCTCAACATCGAATATCACGTACTAATCGACAACAATTAAATGAAATTATTCAGCGACTAGCTAAACCAAAAAATATTGCAATGACTCAATCCGTACATATTAGTGCAACAACAACAACAACAATAACAACAACAACATCATCATCAAATGGTTTACCATTATCAAGATCCAGTCATCAACTTCGTTTACCAACTTCAGCAACATCTACAACGTCTTCCATTAGTCGAAGGGTAAACAAAATTCAAAAAAAAAAAAAAAAAAAAAAACTTTCATAAAAATATATTTCATTCATTGTTTTTTCAGCATATTCATACTCGTCCTGCGACTGTTCCAACATCAAATACTGAATCTCGAACATCACCAACAGATGAATCATCGAATAAACAACCAATACATCGTTTAACAACACATTCAAAAATTTCATCTAATTCAACAAAACCACCAATTACATCTTCATTTTCTCGTTCAAAACCACCTACACAACGTTCTATAATGACAACATCAAATTCTTCATCTTCAATTTCATCTGCTACAACATCAAATAAACGTCGTATTCCTGTAACATCACCAACAAAAGCACTTAAAACAATAACACCAGTACCAGCACCACTACCGCCAACAACTGACGATCAATTAATAATAAATAATAATGAAGAAGAAGAAGAAGAAGAACATATACCGGTGAATGAAGAACCGACATCTTCTAATGAACCGATTAATAATGATATTAATGATGAAAAATTAAATTCAACTAAACGTGAACAACAACAATTAATTGATGAACAAGAATATCAACGTAAATTAAATCAAAAAATTCGTGAAGCACAACAACGTTTAGAAATTGAACGACAACGTGAAGAAGAACGTCAACGTCAATTAGAAATCGAAGAATATGAACGTGAACAAGAACAAATACGTCTTGTTGAAGAACAACGTCGTATTGAACAAGAACGTTTACAACGTGCTATTGAAGAACGTGAACGTGAAAATGAATTAAAACGACAAGAAGAACAACGTTTACAACAACAACGTGAAGAATTAGAAAGAAAACAAGCCGAAGAAACTGAACGTCTTAATCGTGAACGTCAAGAACGAGCAAAACGAGAAGAAGAAGAAAGAATTGAAAGAAAAAAACGTTTAGATTTAATTATGAGACGTACACGACAAGTTTCACCAACTTCAAAAGTAATCATTTTTCTCATTTCATTAAAAAAAAAACAATACTTTTTTTCAATCCCAATCAAAACTATAAATAATATTCTGGAGAGTTTATCTAATGAGTTCTGTTCTAGTCCAAAAAATACTCGAACATGTATACAGAATGATAAATATGTCGCATAATCGGATTGTAGAAATAGAAATAGCGAATTATTTTTAAACGTGATAAGATATCGTGGAAGTCTAGTTGTTATCTTAAGCAAACTTTTTACATATTATCTAGGTATAGAACTACTAAGGAAATCTCTCCAGGTATGAAACCATTTTTCAACTGAAACGATGTTTATTTGATGAGTAATAGAAAAATCTAGAATGATTTAGTTTTCCTGTGATCATCTTTAGATCATGTAGAAAATCGACTATTGAATTTCAACTTTAAACTTTGTACGAAAACAAAATTTGATTTTACACATGAGGAAATGTCGAACATTGAATATCTTTGAATAAAAGCTACAATTTACTAAATGAACTAATCTAATTGAGAACTTTGTTCGTGGAAAGTCGATTTTTGATTCAATGAATCGTTTCAATAACTTTATATTTATTATAATATCAAGTATTGGCAGCAACACTATTCGAAAGAGCTCTAAGGCGTAGATCAACCGATTTTGTTATCAAGAACTAATTGACTATGATAATTTCGAATATAGCCATAAGAAATTGCTTCATACCGTTATATAACGGTTTTTCAGACTAACAAATATTGGTTGCGAAAATCTTTTTAAAATAATATGTATATCTATTTTAAGAATAAAAATCTATTTGAAACATAAAAGGTTACTATTTTCTAGGCAATTCGATATGCTCTGTCATCTGGACAGATCGAAAAAAAAAATTGTTAGTCCATAAAACCAGCATATGAAAGCCTAAGGGAATTTTTCATGGTCATATTTGCAAAGAGTACGATCGATAACTTACATTCACTAACTTTCAGTAGGAAAGCGATTAATCAGTTAAAAGCGTTCCCTCATGAACTAGATAATACGCCAATATATGACAACTTACGGTCGTGTACGAGCGTACTTACTCGATCGAGGGCGTTCTGTTTATTTGATTAAATAAACATTAACATGAAATCATATTTAGAATATCAAGAATGTTATCATCATCCTCTATCATCCTAATGGATTCAGCATGTTAAAGACATCCATAAAATATAAGAGCTAGAAATTCAAATAAGTGTACAATTTTAATTATTATTTTTTTCTAAAATTTTGATTATGAGAGGTGTATTTTCACATTCAATAAAATAAAATAAATAATACTAGCATAAGAATCACTTTCATTAGACAAAGTTCCTTAGACCTATCCGTCAAACTGCAGATCGATTTCACAAAACAAATTCTCGGGTACAAATAGTTTTTTTTTTTTTTTGAAGCAGAAATGAAATAGGCCGGTCTGAAATTCATACCGACACTGAACTGGAAAGTTGTCATACTATTACATAGTTTAAATTTACATGATTTAATGAAAATTTAAAAAAATATTCTATATTCATCTAGCAGGAAAATAATGCCAATAAAATTACTATTGATCAAACAAATGGACATAATCAAACAAATAATATTTCTTCTCCAACAAGCATGATCAAATCTTCAATACCTCATTCCATATCGGATAATCGTTTTCCGACTTTATCCAATGAACAATTCCTACTAAATAATGATTCAAATCCATCATCAACTATATCATCTACTACTGATATACCAAAGTAATTAATCCATTAAATAGAAAAAAAACAAACAATTAATCAATTGAAATATTTTTATAGATTTAAATCTCCGTTGATACAAAGCCTTCTGAATAAAGCACGAAATACACGATCAACAGATAATTTGTCACAAACAAGTATGACAGCATCACAAATAATGACTGAAAGTATGGTAGATGAATCAACAACAGCTGTAAAATCTACAACTCCAACTGATCTTTCCGATGATGATCATCAAGAAAATTCAAATATTAATAATACAACTAATGGTCATACTGATTTACAGTACGTAGAAATTTTTCAAAGGAAACACACAGATATACAGATAATATTTATTTATTATTTAAAGTTTATCATCTTCAACAAATTTAAATTCATATCATGATCGTCCGATGGAAACAGCAACTGCTTTTCAATAATAAAATCATATAATGATTTTTGTTTTTTGTTAGTTTTTTTCTTTTTGCTTTATTTTATTAAATTTTCTTACTTTGCTTTTTTTTTTGTTTTTATTTATCTAGATTGAAAGTATGAAAAATGATTCATTTCATCAGACAAAATATTCACTATCTAGTCTTCTATGATCAATTTTTCTTAATTGTTTTTTGTTTTTTTTTTTCTTATTATAACTCGCTCAAATATTACACAGTCTTAAAAAAAAAAAAGGAAACAAACAATAGCCATATGTCACCCGTAAAATAGACTGAACTAAATCAGATTATCTTCACCCCCTTCTATTGTTTTTGTTCATATAACGTTGTTGTACGTTTTTTCGTGTGCGTGTGCGCTCTTGTTTTCTTCTTGCTTCATACCCATTGTTCTTATTTTTTTTTTCTTAATAAAACACTGTGTTCATGGTAATCAAATACAGAACAAAATCAATCAAGCGAATTTTTTTTTTTTGTCTATTCTTTATGAAATAAAATCACAAGAGACGCATCAATGATAATAATGGCGGCATGTCGACTGAAAAATTTCTAATGGATTGAATATCTATGTTCAGATAAAATCAATAGAAATGCTTGAAAATTCATCGAAGCATAGAATTGTGTATAACAAAGTATTGCATCAATAAACTCGCTGAAAAACAACAAAAATTAATTAAATAAGAAAAAGTTGCATATCAACGATGACTACAGTACAAATAGAATGCATACAAAAGAAACGAATTAAAATCCTTTTTTTCTCATAGATCTATCTTGAGTCACGTACATTCAATTTGTATGAAATTTTCCGAATATGTTGGAGCAGTCGTAAAGAGTAGAGTCCATTGACTTCAAATTTTTGGACTTAAACTCGGTTAACAGAAAAATTTCAGGTCAAAATGGGTTCAAAACCAACTCGATGAGGTCTAATACAAAAGGCTATGCTAAAATTTTCAGTTCTATATCATAACGTTTATAGGATGCATTCTACAAAAAAAGAATCAAAAATAACTTCTTCGACAATCCAAAATTCTCTGTTTATTGTTTATGTGAAGAAGAAAAAAAACGTGTCAAGTTCAATATCTTGAAAAAAATCCACAAAAAATAATCATCTATTTATAGAAGGGCTTTCTTAAATAATAATAATAAAAATTTAATTAAAAAATGAGCCCTATAGCTTCACATGCTCTTTCAAGGAAAAAAGAGATACTATAGGCACACAAAATAGAGTTCCTTCAAAAGTTCGAAGATGTGCGATTTGAAAAGCCATAGTTGAGATGAACGTTAATAGTCTAAAGACAGAAAAAAATTAAATAATCTAGATGATGATGAATATTTTATCGTATGATGTTTTACTTAATAGGACATGATTGAAAATTTAAATGTAAATGGTTTTAGAATAATATTTTAATCAGATTTTCATTTGTAGAAAGACGATTTAAAACTCAAGAAGGATGAATACCTTTTTTTAGGATACTTAATATGTAGTATAAAGTCTTAGAGGGCAAACCAACTCGATTATGGGAGGATGGATGCCGCGCTCACACTGAATAAAACATTACTTTATCTAATAGTTAGTTAGGTCTATTTGTGTTTAGAAAAAATTCAAAGTTTGATTTTAGAAGAGAAATTATTTTTTAGTAGGAGTTTTTCATATTACACAATATCTAATGGTATAACATAACCAAAGAGAATATTTGAAATTTACATTTTCATTTCCAAATTAAACTTTCATACATTCATATTATGTTAGTGAAATTCACTACCATAATACTTATAGCAATATGTAAAAAAAAAATAGTTAGATTTCTTGTTTGAAGATACTTCATAGTATCTGTTTGCACTCTAAAAAATAGATGTTCGCTTTTTTTCTGAGTTTCAAAAATCCCTCTTTCGAAAAAAGACTGACTTTACTTTCGGTGACCATTCAAAAATAGAGTATTGGTCTTGTTGGTATACGCAGAGTATGGATAGCACGAACAGATGCATCACACTTCATACGGAGTAATTCGATCAATCCAGTGATCATTGAAATAAGAGTGA